GTGGTCTCGCGAAGCAACTCAGTACTTCAGCTACAGTAGCGTGCGCATCCTGCGTTCCAATTTACGTATTGGTTTTGTCGTTGGAGGCGAACAATCTTGAGATTCCTTTGTACTTACCACTGCTATATACTGAAGTAGCCGAAATGAAAAAGAAATTAGAGACTCAGTTGTAATTGAGTCGTCAGCATCATCAACGTCCAGATTACTCGTTTGCTGAATGGCTCTGAGCTATGAGTCATGCTCACTTGAAAACCTGCGCCGGAGCGTAGCGAAGGCATGTCTTGTAGTGTGTTATTATTGTTATTTGGTGATGGGAGGCATGCTGGGGGGACCAGCAGCACAGGGACGAGACGGGACGGTTGTCCGTCTGTCCGTCCATCCGTCCAACCGTCCTTCACGGGTACGGTGACAATCCCTAGTGACAGACCAAGGAAAATTTTCGAGTTTCCAGTGCGGAGGTAGTTCATAGCCAGTAGTGTCCTGGGGCCTGTCGCTACGCCATCAGAAGAAGGGTGTGTGAATTGGTATTCCCAGCCGGATTGCATTCCTCTCAGCTTCTCTGTCAAGTATGCTCGTCTCACTTTCTGTGACATGGAATTCTGTCTCCTACACATCATGACATTTAGATCATCATAGTTTGATTCATACAGATGATTATCGTCGGCGTGCACACGTGATGAGAATACAGGTAAATGCAATTTGTTTGCGCTTTCTTCGCGCTCTGGAATAAGACATAAGGATGTTTCATATAGAATTAGGGGCACAAATTGGAGCACGAAATCCAAGTTGGATGTCAAGTCGTGCATAAGACCACCACCTGACATTCGACTTGTGACCTGACTTTGGCTAATTCGGGTCTCGGGCCTGCACCCCATCTTTCCGTGACACGCGAAGCCCCGACGTTACCTCAACTTCAGATTTGAGGCAGAAGAATCTGCTCGGGTCGCTCACGATTAGCGCTCCAACTCATGCCCCAACTGGTGCTTCAACTTAGCAAGTTGGGGTCAAGTTGAGGCACAAGTTGGGCCCAAAATTCTATATATGAAACACCCTATAGAACGGTAATAATGTCGTCGGACTACGACAGTATCTGAGAAGAGACATAACCGTGTCGTTTTGCCGTCAGGAGAAGCATATTCCCAGCAGGATTGAATTCCTCTCACCTGAGTTGCATTTCTCTCAGCTAAGTCGCTTCTCTTGTCAGATACGCTAGTCTGACTGTTGGAAACATCCCTATGGCACTTGCATGCCACAAGGTACTCCTAGAAGGAGGTGTGGATTGGTATTGACAGCCGGATTGCATTCCTCTCAACTGAGTCGCATACCTCTCAGCTGAGTCGCTTCTCTTGTCAGGTATGCTAGTCTGATTGTTGGCAGCATCTCTATGGCTCTTGCATGCCACAAGGTACTCCTAGAAGGGCGTGTGAATTGGTATTTACAGCCGGATTACATTCCTACCAATTGAGTCGCATACCTCTCAGCTGAGTTGCTTCTCTTGTTAGGTACGCTAGTCTGACTGTTGGCAACATCTCTATGTCTATTTCATGCCACAAGGTACTCCTAGAAGGGCGTGTGGATTGTTATTTACAGCCGGATTGCATTCCTCTCAATTGAGTCGCATACCTCAGCTGAGTTGCTTCTCTTGTCAGGTACGCTAGTCTGACTGTTGGCAACATCCCTATGTCTCTTGCAAGTCACAAGGCACTCCTTTGTCCTGTGAATTCCTTGTCTTTTGGCTTTCTATAAAGATGTTGTAACCTAGACTAGCTTTCAAGCTACCCCAGCGGCATTCCTCCCAGCATGCTTTTTATCTCAATGGTCGTTGCTACGCTTTCGCTCGCTCTGACTTCGCGCGCACAAGCCATTCAATCCAGCTGCTTGACTTGTCCAGGTCCAGTCGTATTGACCACGGCCCCCGTCCCGGGCGCTTCAGTCTGTTGCTAGTGAGTACATCTTACAGCTGCGGCTCTGAGTTTTATGCTAATATTTGCATCAATATAGCTATGGGCCCGGAGAAGTATGCTGCTATGCGGTCAGTCTGCCGACTATATTTCCTCGATTTGAAGTCTTCACGTTCTCACCAAGCATCGATGCTAATATGCTGTCACAGGGATCGACTGGACAGCTGATGTTCCAATCGGGGGTCGTTTGCCCAGGCAGTACTACAGTGTCCATCAACACCTGCTTTCCCTCGCTCTTTTGAAAGTAGGGATTTTTGAAGAAATTTGTACATTTACAAGGCAATTGAGACTTGAGTTCGATATTTAATGAGAGATTCCAAAGTGGGCTGTCAAGTGACCTTGCGCCGAGTTTTTATCAAGCTCCAGACAATCGGACACGGTCAGTTTTTATTCATGGATCACGGGTGCATTCAGTGTCGTGTCTCTCGTCAAAGAAACCACAGGATAGCTGTACGCGACGGACAACCCACACGTCACCTGTCCCTTGGTCATGATTTTTTCAGCTTGTGAAGAGCCGGAATCTTTAGTCCCGAGGAAGTTCATAATTTTGGGGCCAATTTCGCATCGAAAATCGACCAGTGCCTGGGCCCTGGGCGTATGAACGGCTGGAGGATACTATAGAAGATATTGGGGCTTCGATGGACAACTAAGTATTCCCTTTTCGAGCAGTCAGCTGCCGAGTGCGCAACTTTCCAACATCTTCCATCAACGTTGTCCGGTAGTTCGGCTCACCGTGCCCCGCGCCTGGCCCGCCCTCTTGACGCTTTCTCGCCGTCGTGTGCCCTTGACATACGGCAGAGTATATACGATTTTAGTGGGACCCACCTAGTATCACTAATCGCCTTCCAGACCCACCACCAAGCTTCGAAGCAGCCTAAGCGAGTGGGACTTGCCGCTTGATCGCATCACGGCTGTGAGCTGTAGGTCGTCTTGTCGATGGGTCGCATCAGATAAAGTGTAGTGCTGGGTTTCCTTCCAGACACTTGGTCTGGAATCACGGTACATGCGCCTGTCACGACCTCCCCGACAACTCCAACTTCTGACTTCTCCTTCTTCCAGAGTCCAGAAGCAAATTTGACGACCCCATCTTGGTATGTTCATTCCTTTGTATCCAGGTGCCGGTTCTGAGACAGTGTTTATCGAGGTTCGACCTCGAAAACGACCCTGGAGCTATCTACGGTACAAATATGCTGTATTTCATTCTCAATCCTCATCAATTTTGTCTCCTACTACCTAAATCCCTCCTTGAGTTGCTTCGCCCCAAGGTACTTACCTAGATGTACATTTTTCCGTGGAGTCATTTAATCGGAACTGATGGATCGTCATGAAGCCCAACGTTAACGCCTCCCTCGGCTTAAATATTTCGAGGGCACCGATCTTCAGCACACCTTCTCTGGTTCAACTCTACTGCGGAGTGTCTAGATTCTCACTATCTCTCATGTGCTATTACATTGCTCAGTTGAAGTCCACAAGTTCATGGTCAGTTCACGTTTTACACTTATTTTTGGCTTGAAGATTTAATCTGCTGCTGAGCACCACCATTCAAATACTGGCCCAATTACAACCATGAGATGTCTATGTGTCGAGGATTTTCCTCCCCTCTCGGGTTCCGGGGAGTTGAATACTTCCTAAAATGGATCGATGTCGCTACTCTTGCGTCCATATCGAAATCGAATTTCTATCTCTGCTTAACACGCTCACGTCGGCGAGTCGCTTGGCACTCGCAGTTGGTTGAAATTTAATAGACCTACCTGTTTGGTCCACTGAGAAACTCAGTCCTCAGGACTCAAATTAAATGAACCCACCCGAGACGGGCCACGGTTCAGCAGCACTTGAAAGTTGAAACCATTTGCGGCATCTGGGGATCAGCGGGACATTCAAAGTCGGAACAGATACTAGACTTGCCGAGGCTGTACACGTTGAGTGATGATGGGATTTTACGCGGCCGCGGCAGGCACGGCATGAATGGAAACTGAGAGCTCGACGAAAAAGGTTAGAGCTGATGGCGGAGTTTAAAAAGGCTTCGGACACCCGTAATTTTAAAAAGAGGGTGATTGATCGCGTATCAATCCCACTACTGGTCGGTTTGCGATCCGCAGAACAGTGTTGACCCTATAAGCCTATAATGAGGTTCGGCCAACCTCAAAGGCCTATAATAGGGCAAGGGCTATAATTGGGCGCCATTTTGAGGCCTTGAATAAAATTTCGCACGGTTTCGGCAGAGCTACAGCACGACTGCCCCGCTGCTGCGGGCTGTTGAGAAATTGCGGCGCGGACCTGCAATGCACTCAGCCCTTTCATAATGGTTCTTCCTCACGATTGAAGGCAGAAAATACGATGTGTGCTCTTGGTAAACTCACGGTCATTTCCCCAACAGTTTCACACACAAATGCCAGGAATATTTTGTCTCCTTCTACATTTGGAGCCTCGAGAAGCTGAATGGATTGCCGGTCAGTGAATCTTGAGGCTTAGGAGGCGCCAAAAATGATTAAAATGAAAATCACACGGCTGCTCACGTGGTAATTATAGGTCTTTAAAACCTTCGCCGAAAACTTTACAGGCCTCATTAGAGGCCTTATTATAGGCCTATAGATTATGGGCCTTAGCCCTTCGGGCGAACACTGCCGCAGAAATATCCAATCCCACTTATTTGGATGAATCGCACTAACATAGGCACCTGAGTGGGACTGGACGAGTCCCACTCCCGCTAAATGGGAGTACGACCTAGTGGCGGATGGTCCGCACCTGCAATCAATATCTCTGGCAAGTTTCCGATGCAGGCATTGCTCGTTCGAATCGGGCCTGGGTCATGGCTTGGAATGGACCGAAGTTTTTATTTGAGCTTACTGAAAAAAATGAACACTGCATATCTCTGCCACGTTTGTCGCTAGAAGTACGACCCAGTGGCGGATGGGCTCTCCGTGTATTCCGGTACAATTATGCAGGTGTTGCTCGTCCAAGTCGAGTCTGGATCATGTAGGTCGGTAGTTATGGAAGAAATGAACACCATCCTCACCACGTTTCCAGCCGGGAAAGTAAGACCCAGTGGCGGATGGTCCGTGCCTGTTCACCATGCGTCGCGGAACATCAGCATTATGCAGGCGTCGCTCGTTCGAATCGAGCCTGGGTCATGCATAGAACGGGCGAGACAGTGCTTTTTATCTTACCTTTCCTATCATGCCTTTTCTCTAGTAGAAGAAATGAACATCATCCTCACCACATGTGCAGCTCTGAAAGTAAGACCCAGTGTCGGATGGTCCGCACCTACTCCATGTTACGTTAATTATGTAGGGGTTGCTCGTTCGAATCGGGCCTGGGTGATAGAGCATTACCCGCATCCTTTTTTTTGTCCTCTGGCTGAGAGAATAGGGCAGGAGAAGCGTTGAGCGCGCCGTGCTCAAAAGGAAAAGACCTTCACTTGTAAACTGGAAGGCAAATGGGCCCCGGCGCACTCGGGATTAATTATAATGATTAAATTTAAACACCTCTGTGCTCGGGCACGTACTATCGGAAGTGAGGTTAAATTTAAACACCTCTCGCACAACCTGAATTCTCTCGAAAACGATGATCCACCCTTTCGCGATTTGATGCGGGGATATTTCGAGAGGGCGGGTGTATCGAGGCACTCGGTTGAACCCACGCACCATCCGAGGCCTGATGATCGGATGGAACTTGAACACTGCTGTGCTCCTTCGAACGCCGCCCGTGGAGCGTGCGTTTGCAGTGCTTGCCAAGTCTCAGTGCCCGCAGTAACGCGGTGTTGAACTTGTGGATCCAATCTTGGTGTGATTGTTTCGGCGGGCACCGCCTTGTTCTGCGGCACCGCAATGACGTGATCGATGGGCTGTGTCTGCCGGCCCTTAATTAACACTCACACATCTCTTCCCCATCCTCCTCCCATCCCTCCAACTCTTCTCTCTACTTGAACGATACGATGTCCTACGGTGGTGTACGTGCCACGTGCCCCGAAGAAGCCGTGAAATCTGACCTTGAATCACACACCAGCACCAGCAACAGCACTACGGCGCCCCGCCAGGTGGGCCGCCAGGGTACGGCGGCGGCGGGGGCGGGTACGGTCCGCCCGCGGGTGGGCCGCCTGGACACGGTGCGTTTGGTCTCCCGCTTCCCTCTTTCTGGCCCGCCCCCATCATGACGCGATTAATGCTGATGGCGATTGATCGATAGGCGGGTATGGGCGGCGCCCCGCCCCCGGGAGGCGGTTACGGCGGAGGTGGAGGCTATGGAGGCCCGCCGGGCGGAGGGTACGGCGCGGGCGGGCATGCGGGCGGGTTTGCGCCACCTGGGGGCGGGGGGCCGCCGCCGGGAGCGGATCCTCAGTGCGTCTTTGTTTCTTCCTTTGTCCTTCTCGTTTGTCTTGGTTTCCTTTGGTTCTTCGTCCTTGTGTCCTTGTCTATTCTTCCTCCCTTTGGTCTCGTGCGCAGAATACTGATTGCATTGTAGACTGTGGAGCTGGTTCAGCTCGGTCGACGCAGACAGATCCGGCGCGATCACCGCGCCTGAGCTCGGTGCGCCCCCTCATTCCTCTGCGTTATACTTCATACTGATCGAGTATTTCACCCGCAGAACGCGCGCTGATCAACGGCGACTGGACCCCCTTCGACCTCGACACCGTCAAACTCCTCATGTCCATCTTCGACACCGACCGCTCCGGTGCGTTGTGTATCCCTCTCTTAATTGCTAACGCCAACGCTACCGCCAGGCACCATCGGCTTCGCCGAATTCGCCGGCCTCTGGAAATACATCAAGGACTGGCAGAACGTCTTCAAGCACTTTGACCGCGACCGCAGCGGCAGCATCGACGGCAAGGAGCTGCACGACGCGCTCGCCCAGTTTGGGTACAACCTTAGCCCGCATCTGTTGGTGCTCGTGCAGAAGAAGTATGGTGAGTCGCGTGCCGTGCTTCGTGTTCTCATATGCTGTATCCTTCTCCTTTCCCCGCCCGTTCCGACCTACCTTACACTGCGTTCCCGCCCCCTTTCCTTCTTTTCCCCCCCTCCCCCTTGAAACCAAGCAAAACCTGACTAACGCAGACGTGAAAGCCGGCACGACCCCCGCCGGGCACGGCGCCGCGCCCCCCGGGATCAGCTTCGACCGCTTTGTGCGTGCGTGTGTCGTCGTGAAGCAGTTGAGCGAGGTGCGTTGTGTTTTTTTCATCTATTTCTTTGTGAAGAGAGGAGAGGTGGTTCGACGCGTGACTGAGATGGAGCTGGGCGGCCGTTGGGAGGCAATGGCGTGTCGTGTCGTGTCGTGTCGTGTCGTGTCGTGGGGCACGTCGTGGACGTTGATGATACGGGCGGCGTTGAGACGTGTTGTCATGCGCATGAGGTGGCGTGCTAAAGTTACATGTTACATGATGGTGTTGGTTGGTTCGAGTTGGTGGGGTGGTGGGGTGTTTGTCGCGCGGCGGGAGGCGCGTCGCGTCGTTTAAAATTCCGGTGACCGCCGCCTCTCGCGCTTCCCTTCCTCCTCTCTCCGTTCTCTTGTCCTACTCGCGATGGCTGACGCATCCCCGCAGTCCTTCGGCCGTCTCGACACGGACCGCGACGGGTGGATCCAGATCAACTACGACCAGTTTATGGAGACGGTGCTCGGCTTGCCCTGAGCGGCGCTCGTTCGTTCGTGTGTCCAACGCAAAACAACGTGTATTGTGTATTGTACCACTCGGAGTGTGTTTTTTCTTTTTTCGTTTTCCCGTTCCAGCTGAATTATGTGCCTGTGCCTGTGATGCGTACGATACGATACAATAGTGTTTGTAAATCCAGAAGAGCCAGAATTTAAATAAAATCGATGTTGTTGTAGTTCCGCCTTGCGATGTGTCCGGAGTCGCAAAAAGGCTAGACGAAGTCATATTGGCAAATGGCCCAGGCCCGAGTCGAACGAGCTATCGCCTGCGTAATCTGATGAGTGATCAATGACTCCACTATTGGAAGCGGGTGCGCAATGTGCGCGTCTGGGTCGCTTGTTGGTTGAAGGGGGACTTGGTGATAAGTATGCGAGATGGAACGTCCGGAATGAAAAAAATCTACGAGATGGATGGATGTCTGATCATGGCCCAGGCTCGAGTCGAACGAGCTGACCCTGCAGTAACCTGACGGGCGCAAATCCATTTTATTGGAAGCGGGTGCGCACCATGCGCGTCTGGGCCGTATTTTGGTTGAAGTGACTTGGTGAAATACGGGACTCTACAGAGGTGGAACTTCAAAAATCATGATGGCGCGTGCAAAAGACGCTGAGCTGACTAGTAACGGCCCAGGCTTGAATTGAACGAGCTACCTGACGCTGCTATGTACTATTGACACTCAATGACTTGCAGATTCACTGCAGGTGCGCACCATGCGTGGCTGGGCCATATCTTGGTTCATTTTGACCTTGGTGAAATGGTAGGACAATTAGAGAAATATACTGCACGGAACGGAATATGATGATTGGAAGCAGGGGCGCACCACGCGCGTCGGAGCCATAGGTTGGATGAATTGCACTTGGTGAAACTCTACAGAATTAGAAAAATATATGTACTGCGCGAAAAGGAGAAAAGAAGGTGACACCGGGGGCAACCAGCGAGGCATGTGAAAACCAAGTGCGTTACACGCATGTGGCTCGCAGTCGGAACAAAGCCCACAAAGGTGCCTTTAACAAGCAAAGGGGGGCTTTGTTGCATGCTTTATTCCCCTGCACTGGAGAACAAAGCATGCAACAAAGCTGCCCTTAGTCTGGTAAAGGCGGCTTTGTAGCCTTTCTTCCATATGGAAACCACATGCGTGTAATGCATGCGGTGTTCACATGCGTCGTTGGCTGCCCCCGGTGTGACTCGATGGCCCAGGCCGGAGTCAAACGACCTATCACCTGCGTAATCCAACTTGACTTGATGGAAACGGGTAAATTCAACTAGGACGGGGAACCAGAAATGAGGTGAAACGAATTCCGAGCGGTAAACATATAAACCTCTCCGAGTGCACATGCGGGCGGATCAGATGTCACTCCCAAGAAGTAGGCAGTTGAGCAATGAAAACCCTTTCAAGGATCAGAGGAGAATACATGCAAGTGGTTTTGCTTTGGCGATGAAAACAAACCAGAGCAGAGATGAGGGTTCTGAAGCCGGATTGGAGCAGTCCCGGGTTGGGCAGTCCAGCGGTACAAAGAAGAAATAGGATCGGCTAGATGGAATTTGCCCTGGAAATAAATGTTGATAGGATGATGACAGTACTTGAAGTGTTGAGGAAGCAGGTTTTGGCCTTGAAACAATCCAAGCCGCAATCTACGGTCGACCCAATGCATAGACGGTTGAGGTCAGGTAGAACGGAACTTGAAGATGATTAATTGACAGCAAAGATTCAACAGTCTAGAAGGCCCGAAGCTTGCGACTGAGGCGAGCGTAGAGTCGAAGGGGGAGCAGATAAAGGCAGTAACGGTGAAGAGGCGAGGAGGCCCGTCTTTTATTGCCGGCACGGTGATGCGGCCGCAGTGAGAAAAACTGAACTATTTTGGGGCACAACGAGCGAAAGAGACGCGGCGCAGTGAGAACGTTAACTCTGCTGCGAGTGTCCCGGATTGTGTCAGCTGAGGAATTTCAACTGAGGAATTTCAATTGAATGCTATGGAATAGACCCGGTACCCAAATGGGGCAAGAGCGCAGGACCTGCAGGACGAGAGCAGAGAAAAAAACAACGGGGATAAAGCTAATGGGGCAATTGCACCGCCGAACGAGCAAAATCTTGAAGAACAGTTAATTAATGGTTACCTCAAAATTCACCAGTGTCAACTGTGTCCAGCCACACGAGAGAAGCGACATTTCGACCATGTCGAGCGCGAAGTGTGGGGGACCTTGAGGGAGGTGCTGGCTGTTTTCGAGACAACGTTTGTGGGGTGGCCGGGCGGCCCAATCGAGATTTGGGGAAGGAAAAGCCGAAAAAGGCCGTCTAGGGCATCAAACCGTGCGTAATACGCCTATGTACGGGCGTAAAATTAGGCCCATATTTAGCCTACGGGACGGCATGACCCGTGTGTAAGTCGGCATATCGGAGGCTTCAGACGGGACGGATTCCGTGCGTATAGCCGAGTGATCCTACCAAATCAACAGATTTCAAAGTCAACAGCCGACTCCACCGCCATC